CCTAAGTTTAGAGAAGTGGGGACCTCCAGTGAGGAACAAATGTGAACAACTCCTTTGAGATGAAGCAATAAACTCGAAGGAGAGGTGTTTGCCACCTGTAAAATTAAAAGCTATGGGGCTGTGTGTGCCAAAGTGAAATGAGTCCAAAATAACAAAGCCCCAGTTCTCCTGGGTGGCTAACAATTTGCTCTAGTTAAATGTAATCCACTGAGAGATGAGAGAAACACAGGGATTGGCAGCTTGGGTCAGTGTTAACAAGGGAAATAAAATGATGAGACATACTTTAAATTCCACTGAGGGCATCAGCAAACTCCTTTCATCACTCTGAGATAGTGCAAGAAGTTCTTTATAATTAACTTAATTGATAATTAACCTGGAATAAAGGTGCTTCCCTTTTAATGTAAGGGAGAGTTGAAATTGGGAAACCCTCTGGGATAAAAATGGTGTGGTGACATGTGGCCACACAACCCCAGCTGGCATCCAGGGTGGACTGGACTGTCAGCCCCCCTTCCTGGCACAAACCTCCTTCCAAAGCAGTGCTCTGGGATGCATGGTGCCTGTAGGCTGTGGGAGGGCCTCAGCCTCCTGCCGCATTGGACTGTGGCTCCCCAGCCAGCCTTTGTCTTTCAAGGGCAGGGAGTCTGGCTCTGTTCCCATATGGATCAGACCAATCCTAAAGTTTGCCCTGTAGTTAGGGCTGGAAGATGCCATGGTGGTAAGAGCATTGTTTTAGAAGGAGCCTTTGCAGAAAGGTCCAGAGAAACTGTCCAACAGAAACCTTCAAGGGGCTACTACTACTCAAGCAAAAACGCAGAAGCTTCTCAGATGAGACAAACTAACATGCTGCAGAGGAAACAGGAAGAATCAGACACTTCAACAGTGGTAGCAGAAGATTGCTTAAGTTAAAGTCCCCAGATAATCTAAGAGGTAGAAAACAGCCTTGTGTGTGTATATATAATGTGTGTTTCTCTTATACTGTAACAGCACAATGCTTAGGTTGCAGGAGTAACCTGGTGCTGAGACCAGGATCCCATCCCGACAGTGCTGACACAAGTATTTCCTAAAGACGGTGCAAGAGAAAGATGCTGTCTTGGCTTGATGAACCGAGAATGGGCTTGGACTTAGAGAGACAAGCTCAAATCTTTCCTAAAGAAAGTGAAAGAAATCCCTGAACTTACACCAAAGTGCAAGCTTTATCTCCCACAAGAAAAGGGTGAGTTTTCCTTGTCATTATTTTACCAGTCTGGCCCTTGCAATACTGTAAATGAATTGGAGCAGTTTTTCTCCTTCCCTCGTCAAAAAGACTGAGGTGCAGTGGTGCCCTCCCAGGGAGGCACATGTGCAGCACCACTGTGCTGAAGGAGGAGAAAGCTGCTCTCTCACTCTTTCAGCCAGAAGTAAGGCCTCTTTCTCAGCGACAGCAATGACTAATGTAGGATATGCAGCACCAACAACTAGCAGTCTGTGTGGGTTCAGCACAAGACAAACCAGGCACAGATATTGACAAGCCAGCAGCGCTGGCCTCTGCACCCTGTGTCACACAGGCTAGAGAATACACCATAGTCCTTGAGTTAGCAGAGGTGTGTTCTTAGACCTTCTAAAACCAGGGCTAAGGCATCGATAATGACAGAAGTGACTAGTCAGGGATATGACTTGCCAAGGGCTAGGGTGTATTTTTATTCACAGATTAAAAAGAATAACAATCAGTATGCTGCATCCTTTTGGTATTCACATTTTTCTAAAGCAAATCTGGGGTATTTTGAGAGAGCTATAAGAAAATCAGACTGGCTGGTTCTCTGTGCAAATCAAGACATGAAATAAGAGCTTGGGCTGCTGGGGTCTGCCCAGCATCAGGTCCCCATGCCCTCAAGCAAGCCTGCAAGGTGCTGGCTTGGCACTCTTTATTTTCCCCACAGGGGTGAATTCCTCTGGGCATCACCCTCCGGATGAGCAGGAGTTCTCTTCCTGGTTCTGCCAGAGCTGCCTGGTGGGTGCAATGCTTCTCCCCAAAAGTGTGTGTGAGCCTGGAAATGAGAATACATACACTGCATGCACCCATCTAGTCTCTCTCAGGACCTGTACATACTGCAGCCCTCACTATAGTCCAGGTAAGACCTGGGCTCTTCTCTGCATTGTTTTCTGCCCCAGGTTTCTTCTCAGAACATCACCTGCTGGTCCTGGGGTGCAAGAGCAGCTTGCATAGGGCAGCACCTCTCTCTCTGACCCACCTTTGAAACACACTCTAATCCTCTGCCTGCCTGCTGCGAGCTTTACGTTATTCCTTAGGCACAAAACTCCCATGTCAGGAAGCACGGTGGGGCAGGGCCGAGGCCCTTCCCTATGGGCAGTGCAGGATGTCCTCTCCCTTGTGTCATACAGAGGGACTGGGGCCACCCTTGATGGGGTGGGGATGGGCAGCATTGCCTCACTTTGTGGCCCATCTCCCTTTACATATCCTCTGAAAGAGAAGAAAACCCTCTGGGGAATTTTAGGATCATAGAATCACAGACTGCTTTGGGTTTGAAGGAACCCTAAAGCTCATCTGGTTCCAGCCTCCTGCCAAGACAGGGACACCTTCCACTAGACCAGGTTGCTCCAAGCCCCGTCCAACCTGGCCTTGAACACTGCCAGGGATGGGGCAGCCACAGCTTCTCTGGGCAACCTGTGCTAGTGTCACACCACCTTCACAGGGAAGAACTTCTTAATGTCTAATCTCAGTCTCCCCTCTGTCAGTTAGATCCATTCTCCCTTGTCCTGTCCCTACAGGCCCTTGTCAAAAGTCCCTCTCCAGATTCCTTGTCGGCCCCCTTTAGGTATTGGAAAACTGTTGTAAGGTCTCCCTGGGAGGGAGAGACCTTATTTTATCCCACTGGAGGCTGAAATAGGGAAGATCTTTATTCTGCTTTTCCAAAATTGGTGTAATCCCTAAGGAAAATGGAGGGAGTTGAGCATCTCAGCATTGCAGTTTGAGAAAAAACACTTTACTGATTTCACAGGGCTTAACACCAGGAGTGCTTTAAATCAGAGGCAAGGCCAAAGGCTTTGTTGCTAAACCAACCAGGCTGCCAGTGCAGAGCATTCAAGGAAAACAAACAGCGCAGCCTCCACATATTACTAGAAAGGCATTTCCCTGTCTGAAGGGTCAGAGGAGGAGACTTCAGGCCAGAAAGCAGCTCACAAGAAACGTGCATTTCAGAAGGGGAGTCAGAGTGGCCAGCAGTGTGTCACTGCACGTCCCAGCACCACAACTGCCCTCACCAGCAGTTCTCCCACCAGAAACACCGCAGCACCGAAAGGCCGAGAGAGGTCTGCAGGGATTTCACAGAGCTCAACGGAAAACAAACACAAAGCCCAACCGACCAAACAGAATTTGCTCAACCCCTCACACGTGGCAGTGAACAGAGAACAACTGCACAGAAAGCAAGCACCCAAAGCCTGCCTAACACGTGATCCCAGCTAACATCGCGCTAGAGACCGGGGCAAGCTTAAGGCGGAATTATGTGGGCTTTCTCCAAACTATCCACAGAGGGGGCCTGCTCTCAGTGGCATTTGCTACCTGCACCAACTCTGCAGTTAAATCCCAGCTTCAGCATGGACCTTGTGTACGCACTGGATGGCGAAGGACTCAGTTGGCAGCAAGAGATAGGTGGGATTTTCTCTACTGTACTTTCAGTCAGCATTTTGCCCTCTTTTATACAGCCTAGTCACAGGGATCTAGTTCAGGGTTGTGACTTTCTAGTTCAAACGCAGACTGGCTTTGGCTTACCCAGCGTCATACAGGATGCTGAAATGCCCTGTCAATGTTCAGCAATGGGTGTGGGGGATATCTGGAGCAAGGGGTGGTGTCAGGAGTCAGGATGCTGTTGGTGTAAGAGCAACCACGCTCTAACGAAGTTCCAGCAGCCTCCTGCAGGGCAGCGTGTCTTCTCCTGCTACCTAGCCATAAATTCCTGCACTGTTTTGTAAGCTGCCCTGTGCAGCCCTTCCAGAAGTTGTCGGCAGATAGGTACCTCCCAGGCTAGGACTGGCTTAACCACAAGTAGCATCTATATAGCAGCTCTGGCTGAAGTTTTACAAGTGGGATTTTGAAGTTGCACGTTATTAACGTCACTTCACATACGAGGGAAACTGAAACACGAAGGCCTGAGGACACTGCTAAAGCCGATCCAAAGCTACAAGGGGTATGCAGCTGATCCAGTCACACAAACCCACAAAGCAGCTGCTCCCATCCTCTTTGCAGGTCTCTTCCCTGCAAAGACCCTCAGGGCAGTCATGCTGTGTGCTTTTAAGGAGCATAGTAAAGCGGAAAGCAGCCTCCTTTCTAGCCGGCTGCTCTCAGTCCTCCCCGGCGCTTCCTCCGCTAACAAAGCATTTCTCTTTTCCCTCCGGAGTGTTTTGCAACTGGAATGGAACGAGCAATCACGCTGCTTTTCAAAAGCTGCCGCCTAGAATTCTCACGCCTAGCAGTGCCCCACGCGAGCACCCTTAACTTACAGACACTCTTTAAACGCTGGCATAGAAGATAGCAAACCCTTAGGTTTCATTTAACTGGCAGCAGCGATGACTTGCACCCAGGGGCTCCCGTTGATCCAAGCTCGTCACAGGCACGAGGCTGGGTTGGAAGGATGTGTACACATGAATTCTCAGAGGCAGTCACTTTGCAGCAGTAACACGAGGACCCCAACCCTGATTTTAGGCAGTGATCGCTTAACAAAGAACAGCCACCTGGCTGCAGGCACGGAGCCACACTCGCGCTCCCGGGATAACTGCCAGCATACGCTGCGCAGCAGCTAGAAGAGCTTACAGTGAGGATTTCTAGGATCACGCAGAAGCAAACAATCCCTAGCTCTTAAAATGACACATATACTGCTCGCAGAGAACAATATCAAGAGATATCCCGGCGCTGGGAGCCGGCTGGGAAAGCTCCAGCCCGCCACAGCTGCGATTGATCTCCTTCGTCGCCCCCCCTCCATCATGTGATGGTCCTGCCCCAGTGATTTAAGCTGCGGGAGCTCAGTGCTGAGTCACTCCGTGGAGCGGGGGTTTGGGGGTGTCCTGATTTGTGGGGCTGGTGTCTGCAGCATGGAGCAAGTGAGTGCCTTCTTCAAGCCGGACCCGTGCACTGAGCAGGACTAGGGTTTGGCTGCCGGGGGGTTCAGGCTTGGTGCCAGAGGTAGGAGGAGAAAAGGGTTGGCTGACAGGAAACGCTAGACTGATATATGTCTGTGGGAGGTACAGGTAGGGCTGATCAGCTGTGTTTTATTCTCCTCTCCTGTTCTCTAGTGTGTTATCTACGTGGGGAAGCTGTTCTAATGCATGTTTATATCCTTGAGCACTCTAAACGTCTGGGGACACTTGCAAGTCTACAGTTTGAATACCTTTTTTTTTTCTTTTTTTTTTTTTTTAACTTTCTTTTTGCTTCTGGAAAAATGACTTTTGGGTAAAGGATGAGGTTACCTCAATGCAACAGCCGAGGAAAACAGTGTATTCTAACCTACCCCTGCCTCCCTAACCTGCTTTTTGCTGTGCCCTGGGATGCTGAGACTGTTTCAGGCTGCGCTTCAGGGCTGCCCTAGAAATAGAACCAGCAGGCAATGTTGGTGCTGCAATGGTAAGAGGTTTAGTGACTGGAGGGATTCTGACCCTAGCAGTCTGTGTATGTGCAGAGCAGGGAGGAGGCATGAGGACATAGGGCATGGGCCTGTGCAAGCCAGGCAAGAACAACAACATAATTCATTTGAAATTAGTTTCCCTGCCTCATCTGGTGTGCAGTTAAGTGGAGCTCAACATTGTGGCACTTGGGCCAAGAGCACAGGCAGCAAAGCATGATTTGAGTTGTGCCTGACCTCACCAGACAGCATCCCCCTATTAGCTGTGGGAGGCTGGCAATGTTAAGTAGTTTTTTGAGGGAGGAGAGGGGATATGTGGCTGGGGGAGTGAGTAACCTGGCTCTGAGGCAAGTTTCTCTGCAATTCAGAGAGTCCTGGAAGGCTGTTTTAATTTACTGGGCTGCGGCCAGAAGTGGGGCTCCACTGACCTCTCTTTCTGTGTGTAGGCTGCTATAGGTCAAGTCAAGAAACTTTTCTGCTGGCTCCTGTTCCTAGGGAAGGGAGAGATCTAGGGCTAAAAAAGCTTTGTAACTAACTGTAATCTAAAGGCTCTGGCCTCTGCTGTCTTGAAAGTGCACATTTGCTTGCAAGGATATCTTCTGTAGCAGCTGGTAAGCCTGTACCTTACTCCTGTTACACTGACTTGAATCACCTTGTCAGCTTGGGTTGCCTAACAGGGTAGGAAATCCCGGGGGGGGGTGGTGGCTGTGAACTGGCCCTCCTTGGCAGAGGGCTGAGATGGGCAGCTAACCTGAATCAGCCCCTCGGCTTGCATGAAACCACAAGTACGGCTGGGTCTGCCAGAGCTGGTTGGTGCCATGGCCGAGCAGGGCTGGTGGGCCTGCCTTGCGACACAGTAATGCCTGTGCTTTGGCCCTGCAGGGACTGGTGGTTACTCAGCTGGACATCCAGCCTGGAGAGTGCATCAAAGTCAAAGGGAAGATCCTGTCTGATGCCAGAGGGTGAGTGAGATGGTGAATGGATTGATATGGCACTGAGGGAAGCCCGAGCTCCTGCAGTGTTCAGCTCATCAGCACTGTGTAGCTGTGCACTACCTCTCTGTTTCCCCAGGTTTGCTGTCAATGTGGGGAAGGACAGCAGCACCCTCCTGCTGCATTTCAACCCTCGCTTTGACTGTCACGGGGATGTCAACACCATCGTGTGCAATTCGAAGCAGGATGGCACGTGGGGTGAGGAGGACAGGAAGGCTGACTTTCCCTTCCAGCATGGGGACAAGACTGAGGTGAGGCTCCAGGGGTGTGTGCAAGGCCCTGGCCCACAGCATTAAAGGGCTAAGGGCACAGTTTTCCAGTGCTGATTTGTACCTCTGGTGGAGAAGGAGCAGGCATGGAAAAGGCAATAAGCAACAGGGGAAGAGTCTCTCAGTAAAACCAACTGTCTAGACCTACTCTTCTCAAGTCAATACCCAACAGCTCGGGGGTATGAAGTGCTCCACTCTGGCCTTCCTTTGCAAGACACACAAGTAAGAGATATTAAAACACAGACCTGAGATTCAGAGTGGGTCTGCCTCATCTTTTTTGTTGCAGAAGCTTTGAGCTGACCTTGGGGCAGAGCAAATAAGCCTATGATGGGCAGGGCGGAAGCTGAGCTAGTGAGCGTGGCCTTGACACCAGCAGCCACATCTCTTGTCCTGCACGTGAACTGCAGGCAGTGGGGAGTGAGGCTTGTGAGTGGTGTTGTATTAACCTTCATTCTTGTGGTTCTCTACAGATTTGCATCTCCTTCAATGAAACGGAGGCGACAGTAAAGCTGCCTGATGCCGAGTTCCAGTTCCCTAATCGGCTGGGCATGGAGAAAATCGAATACCTGGCTGTAGAGGGAGACTTCAAAGTCAAAGCCATTAAGTTCAGTGATCAGCTATAGCTTGGTTGGTTTGTTGTTTGTTTTTTTTTTCTCCTCCCTGCGCAGTGAAATAAACCCAAACTTGCAATGGCTTCTTCCTCTGCTGTTTCTGCTCTAATCTGCTTGCTCCTGTGTGTGCTACAGGGGTGGGCAATGGGAAGGGGTATGTATCCAACTATGTGCCTACTTATGCTGTGGCCTTGCAGCTGGTGCTGAGGTAGACTACATGCCAGTCAAAGCATGATTTAGTGTGACTAAAGCTACCTTAATAGTAGTTGCTTCCTTGACCCTGTTTGATGCAATGAGTGGTCCCTGGCTGTTTGGTTTCTAAACTCTGACTAGCCTCAGCCAGGAAAGCTTGAACAAGTGCATGTTGGACATGCATTGTGCCATGTGTGACCAAGGAGTGCTGCTTATATCCACTTGCTGGGGTTGGGAGAGTCACAGGGAACAGGGCTTGTGCTCTTGCTCATAGCTTTGCTTTCCAAGAGCATGCCTAGCAGGATGGCACTAGTGTACTTAATGAGTAGAGAAGAGCAGGCAAGTCAGGCTAACTGCACTTGCCAGTAGGAAGACATGGAGTGGAAGGTGAGGCCTCACAGACAACTTAGGATTGAGGTCTTTAGAGGATCCAGGCTGTCTGTGCTGCCTCATGAAGTGAGGTCTTGATACTGTCAGAGACCCAGTATTGTGTTTTGCCATGAAGTCATCAGCTTAGACCATGTCAGGAGCCTGTGGGGCAGTGTCTGTAGCACTTGGCTACTAAGTTCTAGGTGCGGTTTACTAGAGACACTGAATCCCGAGTGCACCAAGCACAACTACTTGCAGTTAGGCAGACAAATTAAAAAACTTAGTAAACAGTGCTTTGTGTTCAAGACCTCTTTGCTGTGTTCATGCAATGCCTTGGAGTGTGTCTGCTGCTGCTGCTGCTATTGCCCAGCTGCCTGCTAGCCATGTACCCAGGGCTGGAGTTGGGACTGTGTCAGTGTTTGAGGACCTGATGAAAGGTAAACTGTGGAGTGCTGGGAGCCTGGGCAGGCTGCCCAGCTCTGGAGCTGGTTCACTGACCACTACAGCTTTGTGGGTGCTGCCCCAGTGCAGCCTGGCCAGTCACTGACTGCTGGGGAGATCTTCCATTGCTGAAGAGGTGGAATTTGACTCCTGATGGCTAATCTGTCTACAGGGCTGCATTTGCTGCTCCTTTGAACAGCTGTGTGGCTGGGCTGGCTGCCTGGCTGGGGGCACTACCAATCTGTACAGTATTTCAGCCATGTGAAGGCTTTTCATGGAGAGCCTGACAGGCCTGTTGCCTGATTGTCAGCACAACTGCTGCCTGGCAGCAGCTCTGCCCAGATCTGTGCTACAGCAGCTGCCTCAGAGTATTGGGGTGGGGGGAAATGGCTTTGGAGGGTGGATGGCCTCCTGATGTACTGAAGTCTTGTCTCTTCCACCTGGTAACCCTTGTTATGGAGGCTTTCTTGCAGCTCTGCCAGAAGGGCCTGAGTTGTAGCTGTGTCTTGCCAGTCACCCTGTGGGTACAGACATGGTGACTGTGCATAGACAGGGCTTTTCCTCTTTGCTTGCCAGAGCTGATGCAGCTATGGAGAGCAAGGGACTTCGTGCAAATAAGCAGGAGGCTCTCTGGGTAAGTGAAGGTAAGCTAAATAATTGTACAAGCATTTAAAAAGTGAAGGCCCTTATGTTGCAGAGGCACAGGAGAGCTTACAGCTGGGTCTCTGTTCCTAGCTGCCCTGATTAGATGAGGCTTGTGTCTTTTTGGCACTGACAAGAGTAAAGCTGATCTTGTTTTTTGCCTGTTAAGCTGGTGGCCCTGGTTGCTAGGTAGGTTAGCTACAAGTGTTCCTGACTGCTATGCTCAGCCCCATCTTGTACTTCACACAAGGGTTAATAAGGCTTATCCTGCTTTCTATCACTGGCAGCGGCCACTAAGGAGACCGCAAAACAGGAGAAAGGGTAGGAAGGAAGCATGCCTTTGCTGGCACTTCCTGCCTCTTGAGGTTTGTTCTCCCATGTTCCAGTGCTGTAAATAATCCTGTTCCTATAAGTGGCACTGCTAAATAGGTAGTGTGTGCAGTGCCCTGGCTGGCTCCTAGGGTAAGGACAAGACTTCACTGCTACAGCCCCAGGAAAGCAAGAATATTGTGCATTGCTGCAGGCACGGAGTGACAGTAAATGTAAACCTGGTGCTTATCCCAGCCAAGTGCACTTTCCTTGAAGTGCAGGGTGAGCTGGGCTTGTTAAGATCTCTGGGAAAACCTGTGCCTTGCTTGCTTTTGGGAGAAGCAGAAGCGCCACAGCATGGCCTAAGGGTCGGGGGGTTCTTCTTTTTGTATTTTTACTTAAATCCTGCAGTGTGTAGCAGACTTGCTGTCCAGCAATCCGTCCCAACAGGAGCCTACAGGAACAATCTGTCCCTTGGTTGCCTGAACAGAGACTGGGATGCAAGGGAAACAACACTGATCCCTGTTAAGAGAGTTGCCTTTGAATCTTGCAAGCTTGTACTTGGCCTCCATCCCTGGCTATTCACTGGGAATCAAAGCTGACATGCTTTATTTCCTTAGACCATAATGGCAAGGGAAAACTGGACCTTGAAAACCCTGTGAAATGACTGTGAGGGTTATAACTTTAAGGTTTAGATTGGGTTTTAGGGATTGGGTCTCCAGGGCTGTCAGACACTGGAACAGGCTGCCCAGGAAAATGGTGGAGTCACCATCCCTGAAAATATTGGGAAGATGTGTAGGTGGGACATAGTTTAGTGGTGGACTTGGCAGTGTTAGGTTAATGGTTGGTCTCTATCTTAAGGATCTTCTCCAACCTAAATGATTCTAGGAACACAAGTAATGTATGATACCACCTCATGTCTAGGAAGAGGATAACAAATACCTCGTGACAAAAGAGGTTAGATTGGAAACAGATGTGGCAGGAATAGAACCTCATGCAGGACTTAAAAGACCAGTGATGGCTAAGATAGACCAGTAGCTTTGTCTTCTTAAAAATAACCTCTCCCTGAGTACTTCACTTTACTTTATTTGACAGAAACAGGCCATTCAAGTGACTCTGTCTACACAAGCATGTACGTGACACTTCACTGTGGCCTCAAAAAACAGTCGCAGGACACTGTGCACCCAGAAACTGTGCATGGTATAAGCATGTGCTAGGGAAGCTTATGGGCACTTCAGGTTGTAGTGAGATAGGGGAAGTCAACTGGGTCACTTCCCACTAGAATTTACAAGCTAGACAATTTCTTCCAAGCAATAAACATGAGAAATGAACTGACATCTCTTGTACAAACTGAAAAGGTGACCACCAGCCAGCTTTGCAAGAGCATTCAGTGTGTTCACAGTCATAGTCTTTCTTTGACTCTCTTCCTGCTCCCTTGGTCCTAGTTTAAACCATTACAAACCGAAGAGAACTTCTGTCACTTAATTTCAGGAAGTCACCCTAAACTTTAAGCTGCACTACCTCATACCTGGCCCCTGTTCTGGTGTAGGACACAGGAAACATTAACCATGCAATTCCCCTTTCCCATAGTGTGACAGAGGTCTGAGCACAAGCTGCTGGTGAGGGATACCAGGCCCTTGGGGTGAGACAGGCTCAGACAATGCTATGTGGATAGGAGCCAAGGGATCCCACAGGCTATGCTGAGATCCCCTGGATGTGTGCACCATCACCTCCCCACATGCTGAGGACACCCCTGTGGAAACCAACCCTCCAATGCACCTACTTTCCAACAAACTGGGATGTTTTCTCCCCTCAACCCCAGCCCATGCTCCGTGGTGGGTGCAAGCAGGCACACACAGGCTGCAAAGCCTTCCACAGGAGGAAAAAAAATGTGTAAATATATATAAAAAATATATGTACTCACCTCTTTTTAGCAGGCTTCAGACTGAGACATGCATCCTACTGCAGTGTCTTGTGTGGGGGCTTGTGGCCAGCTGCTCCGAACCCTGCTGTCCCTCATTAGCCCTGATTACACTCACATGCTAGCTATGGAAACTGATCTATTTTTTAATTGCAATTTTATTTCAGCTCAGTAAAACACCTGTGGCATGACAAACTGTGCAAAAGCAGATCCCTAAGTCCTTTCCTCAGTATTTGGTCAGGCTTTCACCAGCCCTTAGTCTCTCCATCTGAATTACGTGGCAATGGCTTGGTTGCTTGGTGTTTTTTTTGCATTTCAGTCCTAAAACTTCATTTGGTGCTAAAATGAATATTAATTAAAATGCTGCTGGCTTTTCTGGTTTCATTTGAAGGCTATCCTCTCACAGAGCAACCCTAGCAGAAAGGCATGGTCTCAAACTGCAAATCAGAGAGGAAAAATCCTCCCTGGCTCACATGTACCATATTTTCTTCAGGGTGTATCAGAAAACAAATCCTTTTTCCTAATCCCAAATCCCAACCTGGGCAGAGCTGTGCTGACACCCCCCTCCAAGACCAGCTCCCTTCCATCTTCCAACAGGCAAGGAGAAAACAATTTTTTTGCACAGACTTTTAGCACCAGCACACAGCAAGCTGCACAAAAGCCAGAGCTACAGCTGCAAAGGTTGTGTTACTGTACACACACAAGCAACAGTATAAGCAATGTGCGTGTAAGTGTCTGGCAAGCACTCTCTGGAGTAATTAACAGCCTGAATTCAGCTTATTTCCAGAGTTTATATTGAAGAGGGTCACCAGAGTCTGGCTAAACCATGCAGGAGAGGACCATCTCCTAGAGTGAGACCACTCTGGCCACATAAATACATCCAGTTGCACGACACAAACAATGTTTGTTCAGTAACACATGGCTAGAAAACCTCGATAGTACACAAGAGGTGTACAACAGTTTATGGGGGCATGAGCAAAAGCCCTGCAGGAACACAGCCAAACCATAGTGCCATGCCACAGTTAGCATACATCCCCTCTGGAAGGGATATAAAGGAAGAAACAGCTCTTAACGTGAATCAAACCCAGATGTAAACATTGGCTTGGTGGATTGTTGAATAATAAATAGAGAAACTGTAGAGACTGGGTCTCTAGATATGCCCCTGGTTTGCTCACATGGATTTAAAGCATAGGCTCTCCTAAGGAGAGC